TATATCGTACATTCATTGACGGGAGTTCTCTGGATACTGCTTGACAATTTGATATATTTTCTCTTTTGGTTCAGAGCACATACTGAATTGATCATATGCTGATCACTTGGCAGCTACCCAGAACACAGTAATCAGGTTTACTCTATTCAAATATGTTAAAGACATCTAATATCATTCTTTTTCAAACTCTTTCCAAAAGCTAAAGAGGAACAGAAACATAAATTCAGTTTACGCATGGATGGAGAGATGGCTCAGTGGTTAAGAACACTGACTGCTCTTGCAGAGGACATGGGTTCATTCCTAGCACCCACATGGTGCCTAAGACCCTCCATAACTCCAGTTCCACAGAATCTGATACCATCTTCTATCCTAAATGGACATTGTACAATGTGACATGGGTGCACTTACACACATGCAGTCAATACATAAAAATAAAAATAAATACATAATAAATAATTTTAAAAATTTCAGTTTATGTCCAACATTACTAAAGTCAAATAAAAAAAATCTCAAAAAATAATTTCATTCTTTCTTGTCAAACTAAAGGTATATAGATTACTTTGGATCTTGTTATTTTTGTGTTTTAATTATTTAGTTTCATTTTATGAGTATGAGTGTCATGCCAGCATGTGTGTTAGTGCACTCGTGTCATGCAATGCCCGTGGAGGACAGAAGATGACATGAGAACCCCTGGAACTGGAGTTACAGAAGCTTGTTAACCACCATGTGGGTGCTGGGATTCAAAACCACGTTTTCTTCAAGAATAGCCTGTGCTCTTAATTGATGAGCTATCGCTCCAGTCCAGGATATTGTTATTTTCATATTCTTTTCCAACCCAGAAAGAAGGATGTGTTTCTGTGCATTTATGTTTCATTAATACTTTTCAACAAAGTACAGTAGATTTGATTATATAACATTTTCCACTCTTTGGTGAGTCTTCTTAACTGTCTTTTCAGCTCATTCACTGCTAGTTTACTGAAACACAATTCATATCTGAGTGTTGATTCTTGTATTTTATTAAATTCTTATATTCGTCCTAAGGTTTTGTTTGAATCGTTATAATTTTCTGTATATAAGTTCACTGCCTCTTTGAAGACAGACCATTCTTATCACTTTCTAATTTAATATTGCTTGTTTATTTCTCTTACCTGATGGCCCTATCTGAAATAGCCAATACTACATTAAATAGAAATGGCAAAAGTTTTCTCAAAATAATGTTTATCATTTCATATTGTCTCATCTCAGAGTGAGTATTAAGTAAGCTCTTCTGGTCCTTGCCCATTTTTGCATAACTATACTCTTTCTGGATTAGGATTCTTAAGATTCATTTATACCACACTTTACACATCATATTTAACTATCACTTTTGTACATAGAAACATTTATTGCTAAATCATGCCAGGTTACATGTAATCCATCATAGAAAGTCCAACCACATTCTGAGTCTATATGTGGAAAGATGAAGGATGTCCATTTTTTAATTTCTCAATATGTGTGTGTTTTATGTAGTTGTTAAATAATGAAATTAATATAGTGTGAAATGTATGTAACATCAATATTT